TTTCACTGCTCCTGACATCGCTTGGGGTGGTCAAGGTACACTTGCACTTGGCCAAACATTGTAATATGAACTACTTTTCTATCTGTGGTGGTATGAAAAAGAAAATTCTGTCAGCTTGACAGGGCAACAAGACGAACTCCCATGTTGACAGGTCGTCGGACATGCCGAAATCCATCGAAAGGGCGCTAGGCACATATTATGCCACTTGCTCCTGTGTTCCTGCATTGTTTTGTGTATATGTTCCCAGCTTCCACCAACGGATAGGCAGGGATGCACGCAGTCCGTTCATGCTCCTATGTGAAAGAAATGGCGGGCAAATTTCACCTCGGGATAGGGTGTCCAATGGTCGGGCAGCATGTTATAGTCTGGATATTGGAGCCGGGAAAGAGGTTTCGAGAGGCTTCGAGTAGAGATGCCTTTCATCCCATCGGTGCGTTGTCACACAATATAACGCCGGGGGAAGCATGGGAACGAAGGTCCTCTCAAGGAGTTGAGGTCCCAGCCACATTCATTCCTTCGATGTTTCCACGAGACCAACTTGTCGTTGCGTTTTAAAGAGAGATCGTGTTTCGTCATGCAGGTTCGTTTCTATATGAGGTGCGTTAGTAACACAACTTCGGTCAGCAGGAACGCTTCTCTGAGCCTGGAATGCCTCTTAGTACTCTTATCAAGCCAGTTGGTAGCCCGTGGAGCTTAGCATAATGTTCCCTGTTCTTGGTAGAAACCGGGCAGACCTGCTTTGGCAAAAGGTATAGAAGATATACGCTTGTCAACTCAAGCGTGTAGTCTTCACTGTCATGCCGGCTCCAATGTGCAATACGACATAGTACACATACCATGCCTCTATGGCGCTCTCATCGTCCCTCAGTGCCGAACAGTTCTTTCCACGGTCTATCTATATAGCTGCAATGCTTGCTGCAAGTGCCAACAGGAAAGCCCAAAAAGATAAGTTGGAAGGAAAAAGTTGCTAGGCCATTTGGAATGGGGTGTCAATCGAAGGGGAGGACAGTTTGTCGCAAGAGCTTGTTGTCAAGCGAGTTCACAATAAAATAGCCCCTAAGAGAATTGAAGCTGTATGACAAATTGAGGGGGGACGACATAGCCACAAGGGGTTGATCCTGCTGTGTTGGGTGGAGCTCTTGTTAAGGCCCCGAACCCTGGGGATGTCACTGCAACATCAGCAGATGCCAACTGCGGGAACATAGTGAAATACTGGGCCGGTATATTGGAGTGGTGTAACCCAGAACGTGACCGATGTGGTTTATTGGTCTGGGTGACCCGGGGTAGAGTAATTGCTCCGTTAGAAATTTCCCATGTCAAAGAAATCGCCGGGACACCAGCTCCGAGAGATATAGTAGCTTGTTCCGTGTCTGACGAACAGTACCTGCATTGCATTCTTCATGACATGACGAACACCCCCAACGGGATGGAGTCAGAGTTGGGGGCCGAACCTGCACCGGGCCAGAGCAGTGTCTGCATCATCCTTTGAGGCAGTGAGACGGAATTAAACTCCTCGTGTATGTCTATTTGTCAAGTAGTACTTGGCATACAACTTGCGATGTTGCAGAGAGAGTGGGTAGTCGAATGCCAACATCTCCAGTTAAGGTGTGGCTAGGACCCCTCGGAACAGCAATCCGGATAGGTCGGGGCTGTAAAAACACATGGGTAAGAAAGTTTCTGGCCTGAAAGCATACATTCCATATGACTATCATGGCAGGGTTAGAGATGGAGAGGATACCAGCAGTGTGATGAGAAGCTGAAAGGGGGGTAACATCTGGATAGCTTCTGATCCGACGCCAAGGGAAAGTCTGCCAGACTAGCCTGTCTCGCTAAGGACGAATTCGGCCGGCGTGCTCGCTCATGTCCAGCAGCGTCAGACCCCACCCACCGCCACAGCGCTTGGCCGGATCCGCCGTCTGCCAATGTCAGCTTCCTATGAGCAATCGAGGCGCCCGGAGAATAAACTACGCAGGAACGGGAAGCCGAGATGTTGGTTCTCTGCCCCCAGATTGGATCGCCACAGCCACCATCTGAAACACAAACTCAATCCCTGGAAGCTGAAACCGGCCCCTTCCGTTACACAGTGCCTTGCACAGTACCAATGCTGAATAGGGGCATCTCCACTGCACTACATGACTGTTCTACAAAGTTTCTCGGGGAATCTCTGTGTGCCTTAGGGCTGCTGGCATGTGTGTAACTCTCGAGTCTCCGAGAGTGCGTCGATGCGCAGTCACTAGCCGAGGGAAACACAACACAGGAAAGGCTTGAGTGTATACCGGATGACTTTTTTTTTCTTTGAGTGCGTCCTAAACAGAATAGTTCTGGCAGTCGGTGTGTGTTTGTCTCGGTGAAGATGGAAACTCACGAATCGATGGAGATTTCGGCCCCGCACTAGTTCGGCCTCAGCCCGAACGTGTCTGCCTGAACTCAGTCAACTCACACATTGGAGGTGTCCCCCTCCAGTCAATGATGCTATTTGGCACAGGCAGTGTGTGCTCTCGGTTCCTCTTTCCGACTCGCGGTGGCCCATGCAAAACCTAACGTTGGCCAGTTCATCCTCCTCACTGGTTCCTCGCGCCTGAACCTGCGACAGCCGCGGGGTGGAGACTTCTCCCAATGATGGCTCTCATGGGCTCGGCCAACACGGATGCTCGCTGAGCTTGGCTCTGTCGGCCTTGCGCACATGGCTCCTCGGGCTTTTTTCTTGCGCTAGTCTCTATCATGGAGGGAGGATTATCCATCCTACTGGTCTGGGATTATACCCCCGGTGGGCTGGTGTCGGCGTAGTGCCGCACGATCTTAGGTTTCCGCATCTTCAAGATGTTGGACGGACCTCTCAGATGCATCCTGAGGGCAGAATCGGATAGACGTGATGACATTATCCTTCATTTCGTACTGTCACACGTCAGCCCCGATTGGCAGCTAAATTAGCGGGCCGTTGGTGATGACCGACTATCATCGCTGATTTGCTCGGACCCCTCAAGTCACTCAGCCCACCGTTCACAAGTAGTATCCAACCAACGATGCCTTGGAGCATCTCCTGCAAATTGGGGCCGCTCACAATCCTTCACACCTTCTGTTCCTGAGAGGGGCTGAAGAGATGCCATACCGCCAGCTCGTATAAAGAGCGCGAGTGCGCTGCTTCAAAATGACTCTATCCAAGCAGAGCATTTTCACAGTATCAAGTCGATTTCGACAGTCCTTCCTTTTTTTTCACTTTTTTCACAGTTTATTCAGAAGCTATTGACTAGCTTCACCACATTCCTTCAATCACATACACTCCTTGCAGAGCACACAATCATTAGCATTTGTCCTACTCGTCAACCAATTTCCACTTACAATACCTTTCTATCAAGATGCGTTTCACTCAGTTCTTCAACGTGAGCAGCCACCCTGCACATATCCGGCTCTCAGGAACAGAGTACTAACATCTGTCCTACAGTACCTTGCTGTCGGCTCCCTTGCCGGCATCGCCGCCGCCGCTCCGTTGGGAACTCGGACCCTGGAGGTCGAGGAGGGAGAGCAATTGGCCTCCCGTTCCACCAACGCAGTGGTGAGCGTCAGCGCATTGGCTGTCACTAGCGTCAACGACAGTGTTGGCAAGAGCTCCGGCTCGAACTCTTACACCAAGTACACCGGCGATGGTTCGACGGCTGATGGATGGCCCGCCAAGTCCGACTGGCTTTCCTTCGATGCGATGTATGCTTGAGACCTCCCTTCCGTCGGACTTGCTTTCAGAAGCATTCATTGTGCTAACCAAACACTACTATAGGTGGGAGGCCAACAAGGAAGCTGTCATCGCCAAGTCCTGCAGCAACAATGGCTGGGGCCAGGACAACTCGGCGACCGAGACCGCAAACATCAAGAGTGCCATTGAGAAGGTCGCCAAGGAGTCCAAGGTCGACCATCGCTTCATTCTGGCCGTGGTTCTGCAGGAATCCAAGGGCTGTGTCCGAGTCCCGACTACCGCCAACAGTGTAAGCAACCCTGGCCTCATGCAGAGTTTCCAGGGTACCGGTACTTGCTATGGGAAGAGCACCTGCTCTGACTCGGAGATCGTCCAGATGATCCGCGATGGAGGTACGTTATAATCTTTGTCAATACCCTTGAGGGACCTGCCGTTTCTAACATCAATCTCCCTACTTCAGCTATTGGAACTTCCTCCAGTGGTGGTTATGGCCTCGCTTCTTACCTGGACTTGGCCGATCGGACTGGTGTTGCGGCCTACTACCGTGCCGCCAGACTTTACAACTCCGGTGTAAACTCCCTTAAGTCGACCACCAACCTTGATCTTGCCTCCGGTGCCACTTCTTGCTACGCCTCTGATATCGCCAACCGTCTCACTGGCTGGACGACGGCGACCTCCAAGTGCTCTAGCTGGTAAGCTGCTTCGTTCCCACGTAGTAGTGGGATAGCAGATATATCTTCCCAGCGTTGGCATGAACATGCCTTGAACACTTGGATATGGCGATTGTTTCCGTTCACTTCTTCTTCTTCTTCTATACGATCGGGGTGGCACAACCGTGCTCAGGGAGCAGTTGTCCCCTCATCGCGATTTTGCCTAGCTTTTTCTGTTCGTTCCCGTGATATCATTCTGTCTTTGTATTTCAATTGGTTTTTTACCTTCAATTAGAAGCATTGCTCGCTCTGAATAGATACCCGTCACCTGCTTTGCAGGTGACTAGATTTCATCTGAAAAGCTAGATCTACTTGCTGAAACGGGTAACAGGCTCTTCCATGGACCCGAAAGAACCCGAATGGCGACAGGCAGAAGAAGAGAACAAGTCTGTTTTGTTCAACTTGTAGGTCAGAGACAGTGTCATTCCTATTTGTGATTGATAACAATTCCCCGTCTAAGAGCATCTCATATCAGCGATCCACTTTCCTCGGGTCGGCAGTCGCCGGCCGCCGAGCAAACCACAACAACTTCATACTTCAGTTACTGTCGAACTTGGCACTTTTACCATGTGCATGGTTGCGTTTTCTACTCTTTCGACATCATGATACCTGGGATGGAGAAGAGTGGCTGTCGCGAGAAGCCAGCGCAGGGCATCGCACCTGTGACCCGCTTCCCTCAGAGCCGTGGCGATGAATATCAAAGTACTATCCAGCCAGGTACAGACCTGTCAGACTGGAAGCGCTTGGCGGACGTCACTTTGTGGAAGTGCACCTTACTAGAATGTGTCGGTAAGATGGTGACCCCGATATCAATATATTACGATCGTATGGAGCGCTAAACCAGAAATACAGCCAGCATAATGTACACGTTCATGTTGACATGGGTGACGATTGCACCAGCATCCAAAGATCGAGTCGATATCGGTAACCTCTCCTACCTCAGCACGGACAATTACGATTGGGTTCGCTTCTTACCTGCGAGTATCGTCAATATGTGCCTCCTCCCTTTGATAATCGTTACTTTTACGCGCTCGAGTGGCGGCTATGTCAATCCGACTATCACATTGGCTGCGTACTTTCTTCGCCGAATGTCCTTATCGCGGGCTGCTATGTACATGGCTGGACAAGTTGTTGGAAGTGCCTTGGCAGTGTGGGCTGTGCAAGAAGCATACGGAAGCACGGAGATTGATATGGGGTGTATCATCAGTCTTGAAGGAGTTTCGATACGCGATGCATATATTGCTGAGATATTTGGCAGCTTGACTATAGTAGTGGCTGTCATGTACATTGCTGCTGGTCGCAAAGCCAGGGGGTTATTTGGAGATGCGATGTCGCCTTGGATGGTGGGCATTGCCATTGAGGCTGGGTTCTGGTTACCCAGATTCATATGGCAGGAGTATCCCCGTGCAAGTATACCATTGTGGCCTGCGTTGTGGGGCGCTATGATCAATGGCAGCTGTTAATGAACAGTCTTGAATGAAACCCGTCTTACATTAACAGGAGTTCTGCTTATTTGGGAGTGGTAATAGTATCGCTGCAGTCTACGGGGCTGGTTCACTATCTTCAAATTTTTATGAGCTTTGCGATCAATTTTTACTGGAATGGATAGATCCAGCATCATGAAAAATAACAAACATGGTCTATACTAGTAGTATGGGGGAAAGAAATGAATACTAAGAAAAACCACACATGGCGCTTAGAGATAAGATCGCATGTGGCGCGATCGGGCGAAGTCGGAATTCGGAAGATAAGAGAGCACGGGATCGAGCCTGGGGGGAAAAAACAAAAACAAAAAGAAATCTCCCCGACTGGGAGTCGAACCCAGGTCTCCCGCGCTTGTTCCCGAAAGGGATTGACAAGCGGAAATCATGACCGTTAGACCATCGAGGATTGGAGATGTTATCTGTCTCTATTTCTTGCTACATAAGCTACCAGTAAATCACTACATCATCATCTGTAAGTCAAGCTGCTGCTCAAGATATCCCAATAGAAACCACATGTCTTGAGTATTTTTTGACGTTTATAGACTATTTGGAGGCCATTATTGACTGTGGTCTGGTATTTTCGCTGCAATTTGCACATTTGGTTCGTTTTGCTTTTCGTCCGTGATGTGCCATGGAGATATATATAGTTACAATCAATCATCGTAAGTTGAAGTATGCTACAACAGACTACAACTACTCTCAGGTCACTCTATTTACGCCATTCATCGTGTCATTCAACATAGGGATTACCAGTAGCACTGACCCAGGCTACTATATAGCCGGGCGCAAAAGGTAAGTGGCTGCGCTTGTTCGCCGCAATGGTAGCATATGCAACATGTGGGTCGACACCGGGCCTTGGCGACAACAGTATGAGAACCATAGGAGTGATCTATGTACGAGGCTCATGACTAGTGCTTCATAACCTCAAGACGTATTGCGATGTTCGTGTGTCAAGTCCAGTGGTTACTTCTACCCGAGAGTCATTACAAATGGAGCGAAAGAGAGAATTCAAACTTTCAAATAATGTATAGTATTACTAGGATACAATACTAGAAAGGAGCGACAACCCAGCAACGACTGAGAATGCACACCTCGACTATTAGACACTAATCCCCCAGCAGTCTGGCTCAGATAAGATGCAAAGAGAATGAAGACAACAGAGTAAAAACATCACACGCTATGGAACAATTTCGAAACCCATCATCAAGTCGTTATCCGTCGCACCAATCACTTTTACTCGATGGTAATCTTCTTCGAAGAAGGAGCAGCCGCCTTAGGCACGAAAATGGACAGGATGCCGTTCTTCAAGGAAGCCTTGACAGCGTCCTGGTCGACGCGAGTAGGGAAGGAGAAGGTGCGGTGGAACTCGCCAACGGAGCGCTCGCTGACCCAGTAGTGATGCTTGGTCTTGGACTTGTTCTTGGAGACCTGCTTATCGCCCGAGGGGACGACAGCGCTGCCCTCGCCCTGGTTGTTGTTGTTGGTGTTCTCCGGGGCAGGGGTGTTCTGGGCCTCGTCATTGTCCGAGGAGTGGTATTCGCGCTCAGTGCGACCCTTGATCACGAGAGTCTGAGGGTCGGAAAACTCAATGTCGACGTCCTTCTGGGCGATGCCGGGCAGCTCACCATCGAGGTGGTAGCCATCCGAGGTCTCGCGGACGTCGAAGCGAGGCGCAAAGGTGCGAGCAGAAGTCACTGAGGAGCCTTGGCCGGAGCGGTGGAGATCATAGTCGTCCAGCAGGCGGAAGAGAGGGGCGAAGTCGCCAGCAGTAGGGATGGTTCGGAAGAGAGACATTGTGGTAGGTGGTTTTGTTATGATAGTGGTAGTGTTAGATGTAGTAGACGTTGGTTGCGATTGGTAGAGTGGTTGCGATTGTTGTATTCGTAGTAGTAGTAGATGCTTGATGTCTGTTGCGATGATGAGGATCGACTGGAAGAGACCTCGAAGGGCCTTATATAGCTTTTGGACCCCATGATGGTGACTGGTATAGGCAGGTACCAGCTCGTTGGGGTAGCTGCTGGAGGAAGCTGGAAGCTCCGTGAACGATCGCTGGCACCACTGGCCCAGGAGGGTTAGTGCCCGCCAGAGACAGCGGGAAGGCCCCAGGCACCCCCGGACGCTTCTGGCGGGTTCGATTCTCAGTCACGTGATAATCACCTGGTTTGCCACCCGCCACAAGGAAGGGAGGGATGGAATCTGGATCTTATTCCAACCACCACACTGTGTGCTGCTGCTGCTGGAATATCGCAGGGGAGCAGCTGTCATGCCAACTCATTCCCCGCTCGTTTCCAGATTATTCCACTGGCGTGCATCCCTTCTGTGGTACAAACTACGGAACACAAACTACACGGTGCCACTGCAAGCTGTCGTCGGTCGCTTTCGTCATGGTGAAGCAATCATCCCTTCCAAATGTCCCAACTTGCGTTGATCTCGCATATTCGCCCAGTTTCGACGGATATCTGGAGCTCAATATCAATGTACACGAAGTTTCGATGGTCGGAATCGCCACCTGAGTCTCTATTGAACTTCACGCAAATGAGGGCGTGCCGGCCCGCTGGTTGACCATGTATGGCCACAAGCCGCAAAGGGTCGTGTTGGAACACCATATCATCAGCTATAGTGTGGTGATGATAGACAAACCCTGACTTTAGGGTCACACAGCAGTGCTGACTGTTTCCGTGAAAGGGCTGGCTTCCTGGCACGGTCTAGGGGCCGTTTCCAGTGCAACGGAAGGCGAAGTAGGATGGTAGGATGGCCAGTGAAATGCCACGAGGTAGTGCAGATAGTGAGGGTCACAAAGACCAAAGCGCTAGAGATTTGCGGGGTAGTCGCATACTCCTTCTCAGCAAGCAGATTGCGGCCATGCGAGCCGTGAGTATAGCAAAGGGCAAGGTCTAGACTCCAGGGACTCCGGGTATGTCCCAACCAATGAACAGGGCTAGCTGGGTTATAGGAGACGGCGTAGAGCTGTAGCGACTGGACGGAAAATGGCACCGGAATGGTTACTTATGACGAAGGAAATAAGCAATACTACAATGTAGTACAGACTTGGGGAAAATGTGGGGTAGCATATATAAGGGGTTGAAGATCTTCTTGAACGAACTTCCAACGCACCAAAGATCCATTCCAGAACAAACCCAAGTATACTAGGAACCAGTCGCTGTTATATCAACATGCCTTCCAACCAGATGAGCAAGTCGGATGCTTCCCGCATCCAGTCCACCCAAGTTAGCAGGTGCTGTATGCTGGTATAGATTACAAGCTCACAAAGCTACAGGCCCAAGGTGGAAAAGATATGAGCTCTGGTGGCTTTGCTGCTCGAGCTCAAGGAGCTGCCGATCGCAATGCCAGCACTGCAGAATCCAGCACCCGTTCCTCTCAGGGCCCGTCATCGGGAACGCACCAAAGTGGCCAGCAGTCCACTCCCGGAAAGAGATGAGCTCGTGAAGTAGCACAAGATCTCACAATTTCGTATGGCCATGATATCATTATGGAACTTTTTATTCTGTCGTGAGCACACATGAATACGAAGTTGGTTATGCCTCGTACGACAGTTGTTGCGGGGTGCTTTTTCCGAGGGTGTCGGTATGTTCTTGACGCATTACCTACCAGAAATTAGTAAATGGAAGCTTGGAATTCTCAGAAGACTTACATATTGAACAAACGGGCGTTGGTGTGGCAGCCTATTCTCTGGGTTAAGAAGAGAAGCCTGTAGCCATAGTGCTGGTGCTAGGATGGAGGCATCACAAGGAGTTGTGCATTCACAGTGACGCATTTTGCTTAGTAGGTGACGTAGATCTATCAAAATATCGTGATGTATTAAGCATTAATTGATATGGTCATAATAGAACAGGGCCGTAAACATGGCAATTCGCTGGGGACACCAAGGAAGAGCCGTGTCGGCCAAACATGGGTCATTCGTGTACACAATATGGGAGAGGATATCGCCTTAGATTGACGCCATTCAACATGCTGAGCATAATCATGTTCCATCCAAGCTCTGTAGACAGCCACTGGCTTCAGTGCCCATATGGAGGGGTGGTGGATACATTGTGCAGATCTTCAGGAGAGGCTTCTTCATGCGCAAGAGTCACATCTGTCGTAATCATAATGCCCATGTTTCGTTCGGAGTCGCCCGCGTAGCCCTGTTGTGGTGCCGGCAGGAAATCCATAATATGTTCCTGGCTCTCTCCCGACGAATTTTGCCGTTTTTTTGACCAGCCCATGGACGAGAGCTCGTACGGCTGAGGCTCACTGGTGCTGACCACCGTAACATCTCGACCCCCACTTTTGGAGTTGAAAAAGGTCGTTCGGCTTCGGTCCTTTTTATCGTATCCGCGGGAAGAACTGTAGGATGCAAACCACGAAAAGCGAGAGAGGAGAGGCTTGATCCCCGGGGCGCAGACGATGATGGCTGAGACAAAGGCCTGCCGTGATGCCCAGCCCAAAGCTGTAGCGAGAGTTGAGAGGTCTTTGACGGAGTAGTATGCTCGAAGAGCGGCAGCGATCATGACGAAGATGCCGGAGGAAAACAGACCCGTGAGAATCCACTTCTGAGACGTTGGAATTTTGGCGACGATAATCAGTGGAATTGGGACGCACATGATACAGAGATCAGTTCTGGTGCAATAAGTGAGCAAGCATAGATGATGGTCGGAGAATACTGCACTTACAAGATGCTTAAGACTTCGATGACGATGTAGTTCAATGGTCGCACAGTGCAGTTGTCTTGGATCGTGTTAATAGAGGAGGATAACCTGCAAGGCATTATAACCCACTTCCTGCATATGGCTTGACCTGCCAATTTTTCTCGATCGGCCTGCACATAAGAAGGTCAAAGAGCAGTGAGGTGACAAATGTGCACATTGTGAAGGCGCCCACAGCCAAGGCTAGTCGGTGTTGCGAAAGGCCGATCCTATAAGCTGTCAGACTTATGCCTATCCCTATCCCGAAGCAATGGGTCTAAGCTTAATGCTTACGTGAGTCTGTTGTAGAGAAACACAAGCACCCCCTTGAAAGACCACACCATGAGAATGTACGAAAGCCAGGCAAGAAAGGCATAGATCGAGCCTTTGGTTAACGATGGGACCTGATCATCGGGTACCTCAGCGGCAGTGGTGGCATTGAGGCCTATATTGCTGCCATAGACAGCTAAGCATGGAGTGAGTATTCATGAACTAGTGTCAACCAATCAAGGTACGAATCGAACCAGCTTACCGGTGCACATATATAAGAATACAACAAGGAGAGTCCAGAAAAGCTGATGCTAATTAGCCCGCCTTTCACCGCAAAAGGCATACTGGTCTCTGAAATCCTACCGTTCCAAGCACCAGGCACACATCGTCCCAGCGGAACATTCCACGGTCCACGGAGAAGCGCGTGTACAATCGAACTGCAATGACTACCAGCCCTATTGCCCATTCACTGAACATCTCTGCGGTGAGATTGTAGCCCATTTTCTTCGACAAAAGATCACCAAAGGCAATGGGACTTGTGTGTACTGAGTAAAAGACGAAAAGGAACCACGGGATGAAATAACGGTCGGGGTTACGGAGACAATGTTGTATCCGAACGTTGCGACATGGTTGAAGCCCTTACCACACGGCCAAAAAAGGGGAAAAGCAGTCAAGGGAAAGGATATGGCGACAATGACCGTCGCTCTGCACTTTGCATCCAGTGACACAAACATAGCAGACTATCGGTTACCCAGCAAGGAAAAAGGAAACCCGCCTCATAATTTCTCTGACTAGATTGGTGAAGCTGGAGTGGAGAGGGAATCCAACACACGCTAAAGCAAAGGATTTAGCACTAGCCTTCCATCGCCAGACAAAGAGGCTATCCACGCCCATCTGCGGCCGAGTCTCGTCAATGGATCCGGTTTCGGAAAGCCGCAGATCACTCTTTCCTTCTCTCGCTGCTGCAAGAAGAATGCGAATCATACAGAGCAGAACTCAACTAGTCGTTCCTCAACCATGGGTGAAGTCGAATTAAGCCTAACTCAAACGGCTACCGGTCGGAGTCAGCCAAACCTTGTAGGTTCTCATGCCTCATCGGACGGGATGAGGGACGTGCCGTGCCAAGGGAAGGACTGTGGCAGGCGTCAGGGCAGCACCAAAAATGAGGTTGGCATGGACCACTAAATGCTTCCAAATTACTGGGCGGTTCTAGAAAGCCTGAGTAGTGGCAGGAGCACCGGACGCTCTTTGCGTCGAGGGGTTGAAAGCCGAGGCCGACAGTGGACCCTAAGCATACACTGCTTGGTGCTTACGTACTGTATTCAAGCTGTAGGAACTTAGGAAGAGCATCCAGGTGTTTGAGCCAGGTGGCAGGCGGCTCCATCGTGGGCTTGCCCACTCGTTCCGCCTCTAAAAAAGAAGAATATTAACATAAGGTTCCGTGGTCTGAGCCCTCCGCTGGATATAGTTGTTTTCTTAGTGACAAATAAGATTGGGGCGTTGAATCCATCCGTCACCCCCGACACGGCATCGCTGCCTGCGATCGACGTTTGATTTACCAATCGGAATCATGGTCCGGTACATTCTCCACAGGAGTTTAAGGTTCTAGTATCAATTGTCGTCCCGTGTGAGGAGCGGGATCCGCACAGCGGTTGATCCATATCGGACTTGGCCCTGAAAAGGAAATTGAGACCCACGAGAGCCGCGGAAGCATCTCTCCCCGGCGGACCGTCAAATGTTGCCCACCACAGGCGATGCTTGGACCAGGTTTCTACTGTACGAGGACGATTGAATGAGGGAGAGGCTGAGATGTCAAGGAAGACGTGAAGACCGACCAAACAAGAACAAATCTACTATATACTATGGGAGATGATCCAGGTCCCTCAGGCGCTGTTTAACTCATTAGCTACTGTATCGTCGTCAGCGAAGGATTGGCACTAAAACCGTAGCCTCTCTTTTCCCCTTCGAATATTCTCCACTAAACAGATCATTGGATATAGTCATTTCGTATTATGTTATTTTTTCTCCCCCCTTCCTTTCGAGTGTTCTCTTTGCGGACTCCTGGATAAGCTCTGTTCCACGCACATCCCAATGTCGTATTTCATCATCCTCGTATCAAAATTGCGTTAAAGTAACCCGTGAGGGATACTACTGCACGACTATCTGGTAGGGATGTAGATCGTAGCCGTGTCGACCAATTTCCTCTTCGACCGCGAAGCTCAGAACGTCAGGAGGTGCTGCGCAAAGATGCGGAATTGCGGGTGGTGGAGCCGATTTGGGGCAGCAAACGAGGGAAGATTAATGACGGGGCAATACTCCATACCAAGTACGAGACATCAGGGACATAGCATTATATCTTCTTGGCGCGGCATTGTGGTCCCCACTGCTCTCTGTTAAACGGTTGAGGCGTATTCTTTCTTAAACGGTGTTGGTACCTGCTAGTTACGTGATCGACGGAGTGGAAGGAAATGCACATGATGTCTGGCTCCAATGAGCTTAACCACCTGTCACTATCATCGTAGCGGGACCTAAAACTGATGACAGCCTGACCAAATGAACCGTCTTAGTGGTTTTCAGCCAGGTCACCTCAGGACTAGTTCACATTGGCGATGAACGCTACAGGATTCCACCCGCCTGCCAGTTGGACATCCTCCCGGACTGGACCTGCTGTTCTCACTACCCCCGCTATGTCTGAATCCTTGGACAAGCGCACCCCGCAACAGGGAGGCGAAGGATTATAAAAGGAGGGGTGTCTCGAGTCGTCGATGGCCGCTCTTCCCACATCGCCCTTCGCTATCTCAGAGCACGTTCTCTTGACACGATGAACACAGATTCACTCCAGAGTATTTGGACTGATGTCCAGTCGTCGCTGGAAGCTTTTCAGGCTGATGGAACTGAATATAACCGGATCGATGCTCTCGAGAAGGCAACCCAGCTGGCGAGAGCACTGGAGAAACCTCGCGATGCAATTCTGAAACTAGCATATACGGTGAGCCCGTAGACCCTGAATCGTTGGGTTACTTTAGATGGCCGCTTATGCTAATGATGAAAAAGCCGACAGCCCTGATGGCTGTGAAGGTAGCTCACGACATGAAGGTGTTCCCTGTTTTGGCCAACGCGACGAGCCCAGTCCCCGTGAGCGAGCTTGCAGCGTTGAAGCCTGCGGATCCTCTCCTAGTCGGTATGTCCGAGACCTATGCTATGCATTGGTTGACTAGCTTCTAATGCTGACTGCTCAAACTTGAACTATACTAGAGCGAATGATGCGTCTCTGCGTGGCATTCGGCTTTGCGGCCGAGCCAGTCCCCGGTAAGTATTTGCCGACTGCAGTAACCAAGGAGATGGTCAACCGAACGTCTGTTGGAGTGGTGGAGTCCCTGTAAGTAGCTATATGGGAAAAAAAGTCAGTAGTTCGTGACGGTCACTAAGACGCAGGCTTGCACCAGGTTCTGCGAATTCCTTCCCACCATCCAGAAGACACCGGAATACCTTCAAGTCACCAACTACCGTAACCCCGAAGATCCTCTGTTTGCGCCCCTACAGTACACCAACAACATGAAAGAAGACGGATTCATTTGGCTCTGCCAGAACCCTGAAGCCCTAGCTCGGTTCAACAATTTTATGGAAGGCCAGCGTGCGGATCGCCCGCACTGGGCGGACTGGTTCCCTGTGCAAGATCGGGTATTGGCAGATGCTGACAGCAACCCCGATCGGGCTTTGATTGTGGACATCGGTGGTGGCCGAGGCCATGACCTTCTGGGATTTAAGAAACGGTTCCCCGATGCACCAGGGAAGTTGGTGTTGGAGGATCTGCCGGTGGTGATCGACGAGGTGCGAGGGGCGCAGGACTTGGAAGGGGCCAACATTGTCCCCGTCAAGTACAACTTCTTCACGGAGCAACAGCCCGTCAAAGGTAAGATCCTTCATCTTTTCCAATATGTTTGAAAACGACCAGTGACCTGACGAGGGTATGAAGGTGCTCGTGTCTACTACTTCAAGAATGTCATGCACGATTGGTCCGATGAGAAAGCCCGGATCATCCTCAACTATGTCGTGGAAGCGATGGAGCCGGGCTACTCCAAGCTAATCATGGAAGAATATATTGTACCCGACCGGAATGCTTCGGCGATTCACGGCATGACAGACGTGGCGGTGATGGTGTTTTGCTCGGGACTGGAACGGACGACGCAGCAGTGGACTCAGTTGCTGGACTCGGTGGGATTGCGAGTGAATAGATTCTGGACGCGCGCCGGCGATGGACTGGGAGTGGTCGAGGCTGAGCGGATCTGACCGTGTAGAGAGACAGGAAAACATTGATATTCTGTTGGAATGAGAAATGAAATTGATGGTCTATATTCATTCATTGTCCACTCAGCAGCATGCACCCTTTACTAAAAGTATATGTGTTGGATCAAGCACGAAGAGTGTTCAGCGCCAGACATAGTTCTACGGATGCGAGCAAAAGGAAGGGCTATTTCAGACCGGCGTGGGATGATCATGAAGCGGGGGTGGAAGAAGGTAATGGTGGAAAATTGCCAGTTCAGCAAATCAGGCATCAAGCCCACTGCAAGCTCTGCACTTAGTGTGATTATATGCAGGAAATGCATACTAAGTACACTGCCACGCCATCAGACCTGGCGGGGCTGAGAGATTCGCCGGTCGGACACTTGGGCGCTATCAATTGATGGCTTTCTTCCACTTTTCCCTCATCTGCACAGAAAAAAAAAAAAACCGTCTCGAGACTGATTCACCAACACCCGGGCATAAAGACGCTTGTTCTAATAAGTCAAAGCTGTGGGAAAAGCCCGTCACATCCCTACATCTCCTCGCATGGAGCATCGACAGCCTCATCTCCTGCATCCCCCCCCGAAGCGGAGGAAACTCGACTTGGGAGAGAGCCCCAGGCGACTCTCCCACGATGATTACACCATCGGCTGGGTGTGTGCTCTTGCCATTGAGGCAGCGGCAGCAATGGCCATGCTGGATCAGATCCATCCAGCCTTGCCCACCCACGCGCGAGACAGCAATTCGTATACCCTCGGGTCCATCGGCCGTCATAATATCGTGATCGCTTGTCTCCCCGCCGGCATCTATGGCACCACATCAGCAGCCACTGTCGCCAGCAATATGTTCATCAGTTTTGGATCGATTTGTCATCTAGTTATGGTCGGGATCGGGGGAGGGGTGCCGTCTGCATCGGTCGATATCCGGCTTGGGGATGTCGTGGTGAGCATTCCCACTCCCTGCTGCGAGGGCGTGGTGCAATACGACTATGGCAAGGCCATCAGCCAAGGGCACTTCGAAAGAACAGGCACTTTGAATAAGCCATCCACTGCCCTCCTGACAGCAGTCAGTAACCTTCGGGCGGCGGACCTCCGCAATGGCAGCCAGATACCCGTCCTGATATCTGAGATGCTGGCGCGTAATCCGCGGATGGTAGAAACTTTCACGTCCCCCGGCTCTCTGAGAGACCTTCTTTTTGCTTCAGATTACGAGCATGACCCAGCTGAGCCGACCTGCAAGTCTTGCGACCGTGAAAAACTAGTGATCCGGTCGACACGCAGCTCTGATCGGCCGGTTGTTCACTACGGCCTGATCGCATCCGGGAACCAAGTGATAAAGCATGCACAAACCCGCGATTTGTTAGCAGCGGAGCTCAATGGCATATTATGTTTCGAAATGGAGGCGGCTGGGCTTATGGACAACTTTCCAAGTCTTGTCATTCGAGGTGTTTCGGACTACTCAGACTCGCATAAAAACAAGGACTGGCAGGGCTATGCGGCTGCAACCGCGGCTGCATATGCAAAGCAGCTGCTTGCTACGATCGGTGTCTGCGGCCCTGGGCCTATCTCTGACCCTGCTGTTCCCGAGGCAATCACGGCTGCCCAGCACCGCGCATCGATGATGGATGCTCTGCGACCTGATCAACACGAGAGTCGGCAAGCTACGATAAAGCCTGCGCATGCCAAAACCTGCAAATGGCTTCTTGAGAAGCAGGAATACGTGAACTGGATGGACAGCAATCGTTTCCCCGAGCACCGTGGCTTTCTCTGGATCAAGGGAAAGGCAGGGAGTGGCAAATCCACTATGATGAAATTCGCATTTCTACAGGCCGATGCAAAAGTGGATGCAGACACCAAGGTCTTCTCATTTTTCTTCAATGCTAGAGGGGAAGATTTGGAAAAATCGACATTGGGGATGTACCGGTCCTTGTTGGCGCAAATGCTGGAAAAAGTCCCAGAACTCCAGGTACTCCTAGACGAACTTAACTTTGAGCGCTGGGACGAGAAGTATCCTTGGTGTCATGAGTTACTTCAGTGCACCCTCCGCCGGTCAATCTCACAACTTGGCGGTCGTCGTGTCATCTGTTTCATCGATGCTCTTGACGAATGCGAAGAAGAACAGGTCCGCGCCATGGTTGGTTTCATCCAATCCCTTGGAGAGCATGCGATATCATCAAAAGTCCGCCTTCACGTCTGCTTCTCAAGCCGTCATTACCCCCACATTGCTATCGAGAAGGGGCTTGAACTGATATTGGAGGATCAGGAAGGTCACGCTGACGATATCACTCGATACCTGCAAAGCGAGCTCAAAATTGGGCGCAGTAAGCAAGCCGAAGATATTCGACGCGAGATCCAGGCGAAGGCCTCAGGGATCTTCTTGTAAAAGGTACTTGTTGTGCGGATCTTGAACCGCGAATTCCAGCGCGGTCGCTTGCATGCCCTCCGCAAGAGACTTCATGAGATTCCGGCCAAACTTAGTGATCTTTTCAAAGACATACTGACCAGGGATACTGCGAACATGGAGGATCTCTTACTGAGTATTCAGTGGATTCTATTTGCAAGACGACCGCTCAAACGAGAGGAATTGTACTTTGCCATCCTTTCTGCCGATCCCGACAATTTGACGGAGGCCTGGGACCCTGAAGACGTAACTGAGCAGGATATCGATCGATTCGTACTGAGCGCCTCCAAAGGGCTCGCTGAGACAACTAGATCAAAAGCAAAGACCGTTCAATTTATACACGAGTCTGTCCGAGATTTTTTGCTGAAAGAGAATGGATTGCGCGAGCTCTGGCCTGAGCATCAGGGGAACTTCGAGGCATCCAGTCATGATCAACTGAAGCAGTGTTGCAACAACACCCTCCTTTCCGAAACTAGCAACCGCATTGCAGAGGAGCAGTATGTTGCATCTGCTTCCAGGGATGAGCTCAAGGCCTTACGGGGCTCTGTTTCTCGAAAGGTCCCATTCCTACAATACGCGGTCCACAATGTCCTTCAACACTCTGAAGCTGCAGAGAAGGGTGGCATCCGCCAGGGATGCTTTCTTGGCAACTTCAATTTCTCTCGCTGGAAGCGTTGCAGCAATTTTTTCGAGAGGTACAAAGCCCGTCGTCACACGGAATCTGCATGTCTTCCTTATATCCTTGCCCAATATGACCTATCGAATTTAATTCTGGCAATATGTAAAGACAAGCCATGTGGTTCTATACCGAGCAGGCGTGAACTTGACTTTCTGGTTTCCTATGCTGTTAGGAATGACCATAGAGAATTTCTCGATTCCATCATCCGAAGCCAGCTGCAAGACGCTTCAGCTTCCTCTACCGCTTGCATCGAAATGGCGCTCCGTTACACCCATCCAATTTGATCGAGAAGCTATGTTCGCGAGCCTCATGACACGTACCAATGTTAACCTCAATCTACAGGACAAAGATGGAAAGCAGTATCTACATTACGTGATCCAGTACGGCCGCGACTCCATGTTCGACCGAATGTTAGCTATGCGCGAGATTGACTTGAATGCACCCGATGTACACGGCGACACGCCTTTACATTACGCCATTCGATTTGAGCAACAATATATCTTCACCAAACTTATCACAATGGATCGGATAAATTTGAGTGTCCAAAACATGGCTAATCAGGCTTTATTACACTGTGCTATGCAATATGGACGGGAGAAGATGTTTGATTTACTGATAATGAGAGACAATGCCGATATTACTGCTCATTTATGCTCCGCTATCGAGCGTAATGACGAGCTTGTGTTCAATCGACTGTTAGCAACACGGCCCGTTGATGTAAATTCCACAAATAAATTTGGCAAGAAGCCAATGATACTGGCCATCGAACGCTCAAATCCTGCCATGATTAAGTCGCTCTTGGAAATGAGCTGCACGGAGGTAGGTGTTGCTCATCCTCGAAAGAAGCCCCATTGGCGTCTGGCGTTATTCTAAAATTAGTTGTTACGTCTCCAGGTACCCCTCTCCGAGCAAGGTTGGAACAGAATGCTTCAATGCGCAGCCCTAAATAGATGGGGTGAGATTGTAGAGCTACTAACTACCATGGATGACCTCTTCTCTCACTTGAATAGCCCGTGTGCAGAAGCCGTTTTGCTCTACGCCGCATGGAGTGGCAATAAGACCCTTGTGGATAGGATTCTAGCTACAGAGAAGCCTGATCCAAACGCAAAAGCCTTGGATGGGAAGACAGCACTTGCATACGCTGCATATGGAGGCTACACAGACATTGCCATGCAACTACTGTCAAAAGAAAACGTTGAACCTGATGTCAAAGATTGGTATGGAATGACACCACTTGCATACGCTGCATCTAGAGGCCACGAAGATATTGTTATGCAGCTACTCTCAACAGAAGGAATCAATGTCGATGCAGCAGATTCACTTGGAATTACGCCACTCATACACGCTGCCACTAGCGGCCACACAGCTGTTGTTCACATACTTCTGTATACAGGAAATGCCAATCCTGACTTGAAAGACAGATTTGGGTTTTCGCCCTTGTCTGAAGCCGCACTGAATGGTCATGAAGACGTGGTACGTCGGTTACTTGCAGTCCGAAGAGCTGATGTTCTCCCCGAGGATGTTGGGGGACGAAAAGCACTTTTGGCGGCGAAGGCTTATCAGCACGATAGGATTGTGAAGATACTGGAGGACTGGCTATCACCTTCCCCTCATTTCGAACAAAGATCAACTGCATGAATCACGTAAGACATCTCTTTTATTTCTGCTTGTATACATGAAAAAACATTATGAGGGTTGAAGGCCGCTTTCCAAACATATTCCTCTCGTTCATCTTGACCCAGCAGCGGACATACAATTTGATAGAAGACTTGGTCACACGGAAATTGAGAACGGAAGTTGTACTGCGCTATGAATAGGAAGGGGAAAAGTGGCATACCATAACTTAGCGTTGAACCATATATCGTGATTGCAAGTGGAACGGGACGTCAACTTGGCCGCGCGCAATGTGAGGTCATCGACTCTGCTCCAGGTAATATTGCCTTATTTGGAAAGCCGTTTTAGAGCAACTAGCTCTGTAACATAAGAGAAAACGACTTTCGTTTTGTCTCTGTAAGCGCTTGAAGATGTCTAGCATTTTTGGTAAGCTTAGCTCCCACGGTTGTGCTGCCCCCGGATCGTTCGAGTTGAAGCTCGTAGTTTCATCCTGTGGGCAAAAGTCGCCGAAGTAACACATTGCACGTCCTCCAAACTCTCATGTTCTCCCATACAGCATGGACTTAGAGGGAAATTATCGACCAAAGAGAGGCCATAATATCATTAATAAAGAGACTTATTCTACAACAATGGATGCAAGTGAATGTGGCCAGTGACAATTAGACAGTATAGTCTGCCAAAAGCACCTGTCGCAAGTATAGCACCATTTCCATAGACAAGGGCTACTATTTTGAAAGTCTAATCATCTACAAGTCCGTGCGCAGCTCATCGTGGCCTTTCTTCTTTCCGCTCTTCTTGTCGTTGATGATGTTATCGGTAATCTTTTCGGCCAACATGACTGCATTATGTTAGTGTCCCAAGTTCCATTGGTAGGTAACTGGTCTGTAAGAGGTAAACTTACAGGCAGGGGCAAGAGGCAGACCGGGGGGCAGGAAAGGGAATGCCGAAGGATCGACAACTCGGACTGAAGAGAAGCAGACAGATTAGCCAACCGTTTTCACCTGATTATCACAAGGGGACAAAAGGATAGATAGTAACCTACCGTTGTCTAATCCCTTGATTGAACCCCGACTATCACAGACGGCATTCGGGTCATCCTCACGACCCATGCGCAGGGTGGCCGCCGGGTGGTGCATCGAACGGAAGCTGTTCTTCAAGGCATGCTCAACTTCAGCCCAGGTGGCGGCTTCAGGACCAGGAGCAAACTCCTCGCCGATAATGATGGGCTCCATGGCTGGGTTTTCAAAGATCCGACGCATGTATTTGAGCGATGCAATTGACACTTCCAGATCGGTCGTGCTGGTAAGCCAGTGCGGGTGCACAATAGGCTTATCGCTCATCTTGGTGGAGCTGAGAGTGATATTTCCTACTGACATGGAAGTCATAGGAACGCCCATCAGGGAGGCATAGTTGTAGCCATCGTCTGGGTAGTCATGACCCAGCGGGAAGGAAACGACAATAAGTTCGGGCCAATCCTTGGGCAAGGAACCCAGGTCTTCGAAAGCCCCGTCAGTAAACCCATCTAAAGTGTGATAGAAAACAAAAACATCTAACACGTACCTGCTTTGGTCGATGACGAGAAGTTTCGCAGATCGCTGGGAATATCCACAATACCTCCAAAGTCGGGACCACAATTGGTCATCATGCCGGTGACGTTCTCTTTGAACAGATCTTCTTCATGCCAGCGCTTCTCATCATCCAACAGAATTGAGCTGGTTGGCGTTTTCACCCGATAGGCGACTGCGAAGACAATGTGATCGTGCATGTTCTGGCCCACCGCATCATTTTCCAGGACTGGATCAATGTTCAACTCTTGCAATTGTTTGGTTGGCCCAACTCCTGAGACCATAAGGAGTTGCGGGGAGAGTACACCACCACCAGCCAGAACCAATTCGTTCTTCGTTTCGATGGTGAACTGCTCAATTGACCGGGGACCGCCGGACTTTTTGGGAATTTCGCGGGTGACGGCCACTCCCGTGGCCTTGGTCCCATCGAACTGAATCTTTTCCGCGAGGGTGAAGGTGAAGATATCGAGCTTCTTCTTTGGCGGCGGGGCATTCTTGACGTAGGCTGTCCAGGAGGTGCTCCGGGTGCCGTCGGTGCTGTTGATGGTGTCTAGGATCCAGCTGGAGCCAAGAAGCTCGCCATTGGCATAGCTCAGGGTATGCTTGACCCCCAGAGCATCAAAGGCCTTGGCCAACCAAGTGCTGAAGGGGTGCACCCAGCGCGGGTAGGTAATCTCCAGAGGCCCAGTGCCCTTGAGGCTGGGATCATACTCGGGTGTAGCATTGGCCAAGCGCGTAGTGGAATTAGGAGGAGTAAACTTGATGGACTTGTCGAAATATTCCTCTGTGTTGGGGTAGGTCCAGGACTGATCCCCAACCTCATCGGCCCATTTTTGCATGGCTCCGTAGGTTGGACGCAGGTAACCAAAATAGGAGAATGCATGACTGCCACCAATCTATCTCAACAGTCAGATCAATATTGTAACAGTTCATAGAAGTAATGGCATAGCCGGGGAGATTACTGACCATCTTTCCACCAGTGAAGTTCAAGGCGCGGTTATTGGTTTCCTATGCAATGAGGAGTCAATGCTCTGCTGTATGATGGAAAGAAAATATTGGGTCTGGGGAGAAGGGCTAATCCTCATACCGGCGTCCCGGGGATCTCCCACCAATGTTCCACATCATCACGGGGAGGAGTGTTGCTGTTGTCAAAGAGTTCTGTGTATCCAGGAACTTGACTCAGGTTGCCTGTCATCTCCTCATAATAACCGCCCCGCTCCACGACGGCCACATTGTAATGTTCAGCCAGGCGGCCGGCTGCGATGAGGCCAGTTACTCCGCCACCGACTACCACGTAGTCATATGGCTCCGTCGGCTGGGGTGGGTTTTGATCCGCCTCAGGGCCCAGGTACTCTTGCAAGACCGGCCGGCGATGGTAGATATACGGGCTGGCCACCGCCGAACCGAGGCAGAGTGAGAAAAGGACGGCAGACTGCAGATGAGACCGCATCTTGCTTCAGGGCAGATTCTAATTTCTGTTCGATTGGCTAATGGACTGATCTAACAGCATTCCCCCGAAGGCCCTCTATATACATACTATCTGATGAAAGTTATGGTAATAGTCATGACGGATAGGGAGTGGAACAATCGCACTCGATGACGACCTCACAGCTAGCCGGATATCGCGTCAAGACTCCGTCCGGACCAGAATGGCATACTGTCTGCGATGGAGACTCGCCAAGCAAGATGAGAATGGGAGTGTTGGCCACACGTCGTCTGGCGACTCAAAACTGTCATCAGTAGGCCAAAACTACCATTGCCTTGTTACTCAAGTTGCCTAGACGGGGCCATAGAATATAGACCACAGAAGTCTAAATGTAACTGCCGGTTGGCGTGCCAGTGGCGGAGCGGAACGTGGAGAAGCAGATTTTGTTCGAGATTGATAGTGAAGTCGTTCGACTACTGAACTAAGCTTACCCACGGACTTGTCAACAAGTCATGGCGTCAAGGACGAGTTGGAGGTTGTGCTAGCGGATCCTGGGTACTCGGTCCGCGGAGAGAATGAGGTGGATCAGGGTTACATGACGTGAAATTCAAGGTTGCCTTCGGTCCGCTCCCGTGAGCCTAGTCGTACCTTGCCAGGTCGACTCATCCGCGGATACATGAATCAAAAAGGGGTCTAGTCTAATCCAAGGCGGTAGAAACTAGATTCATACATTTTTCAACTGTTTGAAGGAAATGAAACGTCGGCGGTATGCAACCTGAATTCAACAAACTCTCTCTCCCCAAGTGTGGCCCTGAACCAGGAAGTGCTATCAAAAGACCCATACAGCGGGGATCTTCAAATGGAAGACGTCAAGAGGATACATGTATGAGATCAGAAAGCGACAATGACGTGGAGAGCTACGTGATTGACTAGGGATTTGAGTTGACATGCCGAAAGGTTTCATCACGACTGATCTTGTCATTCAGATTAGAGATACTACTTCACTATTTGCATCAACAGGAAAGACGCCTTTCAGGAAGAACAGGCCGGTCCCGGTGGCCTATGGAGACACAACTAATTAGGTTTTAGATCCCACAAAGCAACGAAACACTCAAATCAAAACAAACATAGTACTAGCTTCTAAGCAGTCCCCATCCACAAGTCTCTCAAATAATTTTCATCCACAGGAGGGCAAGCCACAAGTTCCTTCTTGTCTGCCAGTAAGGCATTTGCCTTGCGGCAGTTTAGAGCAAACATGTTGTGCCCATTGAGGAAATAGTTTCGCAAAGTCTCGAGACGCAGCTGCTCATCTTCGCCGACCGCCTGCTCCAGCGCCTCGAGCCAGCCCTCCACGCTCACGGAGCGAGCGCTGTGGCCATCACCTCGAATGGCTGCTGCCAACCGAGGCAATTGGTCAAGCGAGAGGGGCTTGGGGTTGGTAATGTGGAGGACCTCCAGCCCGGCGGGTCGAGTGGTGTCGTGCACCGCGGTTAGATGGCCCAATACGTCCGCGAGATAGTTGACGGGAATGAAATCGACCACGAAAGGAACATCGGACGTGCCAGCCTGAGGGACGACCCCATGACGCACCATGTCCATAACCATACCACGCACGATATCCTGGTCAGAGGAAGGGACGCCAGTCACGGTGTTGCCCGAGATGGCTGACGAACGGTAGATGGTGACGGGGAACCCACGCGCCGCGGCCCGCGTGAGGAGCATCTCCGTGGCCCAGCGGGTCTTGAAGTAGCCATTGTCAACGGTCGCAGGAGGAGCGAAGTGGATGGGACTGATTTCGTCGACTTGAATGCTGGAGAAATTGCGCTGCGACTGCTCCCAGGATTGCAGATGGGGAACACTCCAGGTGGACAGGTAGTGAATACGGCTGCCCCGGGCCCCCAGATTAGCCAGCTCGATGAGGGTAAGCGCTGAAGTCGTGTTAAGGTGCTTGAGATCATGGTATGTCTTGAGCAGGGACACCTCCGAGGCCAGATGGTATATCGCATGGATAGAGATGGCAAGGCGCTGGAAGT